AGTTAGTGTTATTCCAAGATATTTTATATTATTTGTGGCTATTGTAAAGGTTGATGTTTCTCTGACTTCTTTCTCAGCCCTTTTATCATTTGTGTATAGGAGGGCTACTGATTTTTTTGAGTTGATCTTGTATCCTGCCACTTTACTGAAGGAGTTTATCAGCTGTAGGAGTTCCCTGGTAGAATTTTTGGGATCACTTATATATACTATCATATCATCTGCAAATAGTGAAAGTTTGACATCTTCCTTTCCAATTTGTAGCCCTTTGATCTCCTTTTGTTGTCTTATTGCTCTAGCTAGACCGTTTAGTACTATATTGAATAAATATGGGGAGAGTGGACAGCCTTGTCTTGTTCCTGATTTTAGTGGTATTGCTTTGAGTTTCTCTCCGTTTAATTTGATGTTGGCTGTTGGCTTGCTGTAAATTGCCTTTATTATGCAGAACTTTCTTTTTAGACAAAAGGGGAGATATGTAGTAGGTAGCTTTTCCAGGTCTTTACCTTGGCCTTATACTATCCAAGCTATATCCTGTAAGCTAATCTATTAAATTATATATATAGTTTACATATATATTTACTGTCCCTAGTGTGACAGCAAGTAACTGCCACACCTGCCTATGACCTGCCCCTGGGGTGTGGTCCAGACCCCTTAAGACCCAAGGTGCGTATATGCCCCCGCCCCCCTCTTGATCCCTCATGGTCCTGGAGGCTGGACTGTACCTCATCTCTCCCGGATCCTGTAACCGACCCCTTATTTGCTGTAAGCTACCCCAGAAATAAACCTCACTTGATTACCAGATAAACTACGTGGAATTGCCTTGTTAATTATAGTGATACTGGAAACCAAATCTATGTCCTCTGCAAGAATAGGAAGCGCTTTTAAACACTGGGCTGGCCATCTCTCCAGCCCTGGCTTTGTTGTTTTAACCCGTACATTCCCTTTTAATCTTGTGTCCGTTTCCACGGTAGCCTATGTGGATGGCAGGTAGTTTTCTCTGTGGCCTCTTTCCTCTTACTGTCTCCGTGAGCTAACTCCCACTTGTGTGTTTCTGGAGTGCCTCTGGTGTGTGATGGGTCCTGATGTCCCCTCTGTCTCCTGACCAGAATCTGAGCTTTCTCTTTCCTGGGAGCAGATGGTGGAAGTCTTCAGTCCTGTCAGTCTTTACAAGGACACAGTTTTATCCCTGGACTTACTCTCTTGTCCTCCCCTGGCCTCTCCGTTGGGCTCTTGCTCGTCTTTGACCGTGTTGCCTCCCTCTGGCCTTGGATTTAGTGGCTCCTGTTTCTGTGGGGACCACCTTCTTGGCTGAGAGTTGGGGAGGGTCTTGTAGGACTTGACCTGTGAGGGCAGGTGCTCAGCCATGCTATGTCCCTGCCCTCCCTGCCACGTGACCAGCACTGTGACCTCCCCTGGAATCCAGCCCTGGATCATTTCAGCAGTCCCCTCAGTGGATCCCAAAGGTGCTTGGACCTCCTTGCCTGGATTTGACTCTCAGATTCTCATTGGCCAGACCATAGGTCCTTTGCCTCTATGCCATGATGAATCAGATCTCTGCAAGAGGACCCGGTTTATCCATAGAATTCCAGAACAGTCCTTTGGTGAAAAGCACCTACCTGCTCTGTGAGTGGGGTGCCTAAGTGTTGAGTATAGACCAACAGGACTCACAGCTTCTGTGTCCAGCGGCCTATGTCCGAGTGAGCAGGGGCATCGTGTGTTATAAGTGGCTAGATTCCAGAAGGGAAGCTCCCTGGCTCTGAGCCTAGTGATCCATGAGGGACCTGAACTTCCTGCTACCCCAAAGACCACAGTGTCCTTAGGCAGGCAGTTGTAACAAGAGAGTAAGCCACAGGCGGGACTGTCCACAGCTACCTGGCTTGTCACGGCCTGTTTACCTGGCCCTCCTTCCCACCCTTCTGCAGATGGCTCGGCTCTGCCTTGTGTCCTCACTGCCTATTCAGGAGTGCGGTCCAGGAGGGGAGTGCTGCCTCACCCTCCCTTCTGGACATCGGTGCCTCGGTGCTGATGCTCTGCCGCCTCTGCTGGCTTGGCTCTTGTTCTGACACGGTGTGGCTGTTCACAGTGGTGTCACGCGGCAGGTTTGGTTCTCTGTGCAGGTTGACAATACCATGGGATCCACCCCGGAAGGAAAAGACAGTGCTTTATGGCCAGACACCCCCAAGGGCCCCCTGAGTGCCTACCGAGCAAGAGCTTCCTTCAGCTCCAAGGAGCTGCTGCTATTCTGGGACGGCGAAGATGTGCTCCAGTTCAAGGTGAGGTCCGCAGGGAGTCTGGTTGTGTTTTTATTCCCCGACAGAAGTGATATTGAAGTTCCGAAGCCTGGTGGCTTTTCTGGCCCTAATAGCTCTGTAGGATGGGTAGGTCTTGGGACAGTGTGGGTCTGTCTCCTCTTACCTCACGTTGGGCCCCAGGATGCCAGAAGGAAGGAGTGGACAAGATTTTGGAATTCCTGTGTCCTCCTCTCATCTGGGATGGATGTTTTCATCTGGGGGATTCTGGGTCAGACTGGGTCCCAGGCAGCCATGGCCCCGAGAGAAAACAAAGACAGAAGAGCACTTGAAACCCCACCTTTGGCCTTCAGGTTGGCACCCTGTCCCCTGTGTTACAGAAAACCATCTTCGAGGCTTTGGAGAATGACCCTCTCTTTGACCGCTCCTGTGGGACTGATCTGCCTCTAGAGAAGCAGCGGGAACTGAACTTCCTTCGCTGCAAGCGCATCTTCGAGTATGGCTTCTTCCACATGGATGACCTGTTGAAGGACCCCCTGAAGGTCCCAACGTTGATTGCCTGCCTGGGCATGTACGACTGGTCCCTGGCTAACAAATGTGCCCTCCACATGTTGGTGAGTATGTGGTAGAGAGCAGGGAACCCTTGTCCACCCAGGGCCACACATATCAGGCACAAACCACAGCCACATGGCTCCTAAAATATTCAGGATTTAAGATTCAGTGACAAGACCAGATTTTTCAGCTTTCGGTGCCGATTTGTACCCATGGGTTCTTGGATAAAATATATTTATCCAAAGTGTGCCATCCAGTAGGAAGAGGTGAGGTGAAGAGTGTGTGGGGTAGGTGTGAGGTGTGCCTGCCCTGAGCCAGAAACAGCAAGACCCCCCCCACCTCTGCCCCTACCCTACCCCCACCCCACCCCTGCCCCCACCCCGACCCCCACCAC